GTGCTATGTAACACCTGATTATGATTCTCAATGTTATATTGTTTTTGACTTGCGTGATACACTTAATGAAATTAAGCTAACAATATGTGCTGTAAGTTTATATTAATGTACTGGTAGTACAGGAAACGGAGGTTTTCCCCCTTCTGGGGGTGGAATGTTTTAATTATAATTTGACCACAGAAATAGTATTCATTTTGTAAACAAACTGTAGTAAACAAAATTATAGCTTTTAAAAAAACAAAAAAAAATGTTTTTTTAATGATTGCTGTATAACCAACACGAACCGAACTTTGATTTGTTAAAGGTTTGCTCTTGTTCATCGAACGCTGAATTAGAGTTTTAGAGTCAAATAAAGAGGAAAACGGTGTATTTTCCGAAAACAGTATCTTTTTTAAAGTATTAAAAAAACTTTTCTTTTCTTTTTCAAAAAAAAAAGTCTACCATAAAAATTGAGCGGGTTATTAGGTATGAAAATAATATCGATGTCTACTTTTTTTAGCGAAGAAAAACCCTAATTACCACCTTAATTAAAATTAGTCATTACCCTTTTTCAGTTCTCTTTATTTATATATTGTTAATACATTCTAGAAGTTTGACCAGTTCATTTTATAATAATTGGAGCTAAAAGTGAAAAATGAGTTTCTGCAATTTTGTGTAAAATGTCTTTCTGTTCAAAATAACTCCAAAACTAGCGGTGATACGTGAAAAATGCTCCAATATCAAATTGTAGCTTTTTAGTTCCAAATATTTTGCTTACCAGAAATTTTCTGTACGACAAAAGGTAAGTCTGATATAGACGTTTAAAACGTGTATTTATATGCGAGCTTTTTAAGCTTCCTTTTAAAACTAACAATAAGAGTTTTAAGGGGATCTAATGTAAACAGCCTTGTAGCTTTTGTAAAAGCTTACAAATTTTACTTACCTTAAGCTTTAATATATAATTTTGTAGGCTTTGGGAAAAAGGGGTTATTTTCACCCCTACAAAATTAAGAACTCCCATTGGCATAATATAGATTTTGATGTAGAGGGTAAGTTGAGGTTAATCAAAATTTTCATACAAATCGATACATTTTAAAAAAATTGTGAGGTTTTGTCCTATTATAAGCTCCGTTTCCTGAACTATGGGGAATATAAGGTCAAATTAATGATCTAAGAACTTCACAGGCACATGGGTACCGTAATTATGTATTTATACATATTTTATGTTGATAGATTGTTATGAGACGGTTGTAGGGAGTATAACTTGACTTAATTATACATATTATCATGTTAATGCTAGAGGTAACGTTTTAGACGTAGTGTTTACTTATTGCTATGATTTTATTTGTCATGAATATGTTGATAAGTGTAATGAATTTCACCATTCAATGCATATTACATTGACTATATTCCTATACTGAAACCCGTACTAATAATGAAGAAAATTATGTTTTAAAAGAGCAGATTTCGGGATGATTGCACACGCTGGAGTTAACTTTGATGAATAGACATATGCCTTTCATTAAAGCAAGTTCAAGAATATTTCCAATGGCTTATTGTCTCTTCGTACCGTCTCATTTCTTATTTTGTACTGCGTCTCAAATGTATACATGTGACTATTCTAATTTCGCACCGCATTTCTCATATAATCGTACAAGTAAAATTAAAATAAGCAGATGCATCACAAAATTAAATTAAACGTTAGGAAACAACTCCAACCGACGACAGCATTTAGACCCGAATCAGAACAGCATCAGTTCACCTATTGGCCGCGAAAGCCTTTACCACCTTGTCAGAGGCCTCTACGGAAAGGAGACATGTAGGCAGTATCAACGGCTGGGCAAAGTAAGGAAGTAGAATACGCACTTACTCGCCATTCTGGTGTTCTTGTGCCTCTGTCGGGACACCAATATCGTACCAGCAGTTCTTAGGCAGAAACTACTTAACTAATCATCGCAAGCTAACAGAATCTATACCAGGATTACGAAGGCCTTTCTCCGAGAACGAATATACTGCGCACATCGTGGCCGCGCGAAGATGGATGAAAAACTTTTTGACATACACCTGACACTAAGAAACAGGACGCAATATCTTATTCCAATATGAGGAACGAACTGGATCGTACCAGGGAGCAGCAGATCAGGAAATACGAGAAGTTCCAGAGGAGGCAAATTCCGAAGCGGCGAGCCTTGGCCGCACACATCTCGTGGTCAATCTGACTGAGAAGGTGCTCACAGAAAGCAAAGCGACAGTGCTGACCAAAGGAGGCTCCTCGCCACATTCCGTTTGAAGACATCATCTCCAGCACGGAAGCAGCTTTCAAGTATCTACCGAATGAGAACGAAGAAAGAATACGGATCAAGACAGCCAATATCTTCAGGAAGGCAAAGCCAAACATGACAAGGAATGAAGCACTGAAGCACTGCTACTGCAAAGCCTAAACAGGGATGATGATATTATAGCACTCCCAGCTGACAAGTCATCAAGTCATCATCTCTGTCTGCTGACGTCCAAAAACTTATTCTGACAACGGAAGCTATTCCACCGAAGCCATATGGATTACTGAAGATCAACAAAGGTAATGTTCCTCTGCTCCTTAACGAAACACTTGGCATTGCTGCTTCAGTCTCATGTGGGAATGAGTACCAGTTACATCTTCACATCCTTGTAAGCTTCGACCTCGTCTCGTTGTTCACCAAGGTACAGGATGCCTTAACCTGGCGATTAAGATTTTCCCTACCGACATCTGTAAGTATTTGAGGTTTACGTCACTGGAAGTTGTTTCGGAGGGAGGACTTCTACGAGCAAATAGATGGGATAGCAATGGAAAGCTGTAGCGGTCTATCGGGTTTTGGTGTATTAATATTGTGGACTTTAAAGGTAGAGGCAAGTCTGTTCTGACAACTATTATACGATAGCGGTATAAGTGATAATTGGAGGGGGGTTAGTGAACTTAAATGAATGAGCAGGGTGATCTATCGGTAAACAAGACGAAAGATAAAGGAAGGCTGTGATGGAAATTGAAGTAGCCGGTTGGCGCGTTTTTAAGTTAAAATTATAAAACAAGTGGTTATAGGAAAGAGTGAAGGTACGTGTCCAACCAGTCTTATGATTAACGACCTTATGATGATGATGATCAAAAACTACATAGGATAGTGGATCGATTATATTGACCGAAACTTGACTTAAAGATGATATTGGAGATTTTGAATTAGGTACCTATGAGTGACTATAATATANAATTTTTCAACCAAAGACACAGACGATTTCGCTGCAAGGGCCCAACAGGTCAAACCGGTACATTTATCTATTTTATAGTTTTTATTTTTAAAAGGTATATTTTTATTTTTTTATTTTCTTTCTAGTTCGATATTTCTGTATTAAAGTTCTTAAAAATGAAATTATGATTTTTCTTCCGTGCACTATAAATGAACCCAATTGAAATTTACCCTAAATACGTGTATTTGAGCCGTTACAAAGCCGCGTATGTCGGGTTATGGTCAATTTCTTCATGGAACGCTTTGAAAAGAAAGCTATCGAGACCTCGGAGTACAGACCAACTGCTTGATTTCGATACGTGAATGACACCTTCGTAATTTGGAGACACGGAATAAAAAAGCTGAACCACTTCCTGTAACACCTAAAGAGACAACACCCTAGCATCCAGTTCACCATGGAGACTGAGAAGGATTAACAGTTAGCATTCTTGGACGTACTACTGAGGAAACGAGGCAACAAATTGATGCACACATACACACAGACTGGTATTTGCAAGCCATACCCAATAAGCACCCAAGTCTGAAGTATCGCATCATAAGGACCCTCACTGAACAAAACTAGCTAGAAAGATCTGCAAACCGGCAAATCTCCAGAAGGAAGTCGAGCACTTAAAAACCGCCTTCGAGGTGAATGGTTACTAAAAGAGGGAGATCGATAGATCAAGGAACTAGTCAAAGGCACCAGAGATCAACGAATGGCGCACTAGCTCTCTAGCATATCTACCATATGCTCCAAAGAACACAAACCGAATTAGCAGAGTTCTGAAGAGACATTAAAACCATTTTTAAACCTACCAAGAAGATTCAGAAAACCATTAAATCATCTAAGGACAAAAGGGACCCGCATTCAGCCTCAAGAGTCTACCGCATAACCTGTTACTGCGGAAAAGTTTTTACAGGAACCACTAAGAGATCACTGGGAACGAGACCCAAGTAGCACAAAACAAACTGTCGACTAGGACACACTGAAAAATCGGTTGTGGACAAACACGCATGACCGACCACAAAACATTAATTGAAAACTGCAAATTATCAACTTCAGTCACAGCACGATGGTTAGAGATGCAAAAACATCCGCAGAACTTCAACAAGAAGGGGGAGACCCTCAGACTCAACAACCAAATCTAGAACCCAATTATTCTATTCGAATAGTATCGACCTGCATGCCACGATTGACCGATCCGGAATAAACCTCGCCCTCTAGTCACCTGCATAAATACACTTGCATCCAGCATTGGAGATGGAAGGACCTCAGAAGAAGCTCGCAACTCGTGCTAGCTGAACGTTAGGTAGCGCAGCTCTAACACACGACGACCTTTAGACATTGGAAATTGAGCTGTTGTAAATCCGAAACATGGAAATACAAATTATATTTAGTAGGTACTACATAAACGCTTTGACATTTAATAATATACTGCGCACATCGTGGCCGCGCGAAGATGGATGAAAAACTTTTTGACATACACCTGACACTAAGAAACAGGACGCAATATCTTATTCCAATATGAGGAACGAACTGGATCGTACCAGGGAGCAGCAGATCAGGAAATACGAGAAGTTCCAGAGGAGGCAAATTCCGAAGCGGCGAGCCTTGGCCGCACACATCTCGTGGTCAATCTGACTGAGAAGGTGCTCACAGAAAGCAAAGCGACAGTGCTGACCAAAGGAGGCTCCTCGCCACATTCCGTTTGAAGACATCATCTCCAGCACGGAAGCAGCTTTCAAGTATCTACCGANGAATATAAAAAAAATAATAATACTGTTTTTGACAATAATACCTACGGATCAATCACAAGGCCTAATGTTCCTTCAACACCTTGTAATTCATTCGATGTGAAGTTGGCTACTAGCATTTTTTCTCCATCACTTTTTGGTACAATCGATTCTTCAATAGTTATCACTTCTTTGGGTTCAATATCTCTAACGGCAAACGACTTGGGCTTGACACTCGAGCCTTCTATTGTTACAGTACAGTTCGTGAGAGGGACATCCAATGGATTCCTAAAACTAAAACGATACGTGCAGTACATACATATATCCAAATTTCCTTATCAATAAAATCAGTAGGTAAGTGAAACAATTGAGCATAGGTACATAAAAATGTAATGCGTAATGAATGCTAACAGTGTAGATATACTACGACTTATGGAATCGACTTGTTAAGGATATTCGGGAGTAATACTGTTCAACCAATTAGTTTTATTTTACTTATACGCAAAAGTAAAATAAAAACACTAAAGTTTCACACTTTGTATTATTCTTAACAATAGTTTCGCCACCTTATGGTTTCTTCAGAAGATACACTGCATCTTCTAATGAAGTCATAAAATGGGGAAGCAGTAATTTTTGTGAACAATAAAAAGCGTGGAAATTATCAATAGTGTTTGTTTTTTATTTTCGAACAAGTATATGATCTACATTACACACGTTTTACCATAACATAATTTTAAATTGCTACCCCATTTAAAAATAACTAATTATACGGAACCCACTACAACATTTAATTTGACGAAGCAATAAAACAAAATAAACGCTAAATAATAAGAATCAGAGTAAATGCTTTATTGAATTAGTTTTTTGAACTAACTTTACCTACCATAGATAACCTCAAATTAATAAAGAAAAATTGTTGCTACTGTCACTCCCTCGCCGGGAAACGAACCCGGGCCACTGGTTTTCGCACACGCACCAGTAATCCTAATTCACTAATACACTGAATTTAGCCCCACAAAAAAAATCCAAAAAGTGTACATAATCTTCGACAGTTTTGAAAATGGTTCAACTTTGCCGTTTTCGATTGAATTTTTTGAAGTTTTATTAGCTCCATCAAATCAAATGTTGCAAATGTGTTTAGTGCAGTTAGTTATTTGCTATTTTATCGTTCAAAACTTTTACATTATAACTCCCAAAGTAACTTATTGTACAAGACACCTGCAAAATTTTATTTAGCTGTTAAAAATTAGCAATAAAACAAAATAAATCCTAAATTTCAAGAATCAGATGAAAAGAATGAAGTCCACCATTGTAAACAGAATATAATCGAACCTTGATTGTTTTAAAAATGGTGAAACTCTTATTTTTCTAATCTGATTTTTAATATGTAGGACCTATTTTGTTTCAGTAACATCAACAGCTTCACCAAATCACATTTTTCAGCTATGTTTCTTACAATTAATTTCATTTATTTAACAGTGCAACTCCGTAACCTTCTTAAAATAAGTCCACGACATAGCTACGTATCTGCGCCATAAGCTGACGTGCTGAGGAGAACTATGAAGCTCGAATTTGCAATGATAGTTTTAACCTGCCCATAAACCTACTCAAATTTCGTTAAAATTGAAGCCAGAAAATTTAAGATTTATAATTAAATGGTAAATACCTACCTTAATACGACAGTGCAACTATCACCAACCCTAGGACCACAATCCTTCAATACAATACTGAGTGCAGGTTTTGCGACCATAAAATCATCTTCTTCACTCCATGTTTGCTTAGTTTCTTGCACATTTGCTATTGCGAATATCTTCACCAAGTGATGATCAACTAACTTACTAAGATATTCTCCTGGTGATATATGTATTTTCATTGTCTCTTTTTCCTCGGGACCTACTATAAATGTACCTTGAGCTTTCTTAATATTGTGTGCAGTTGCTCCATTATAATACACTGAAGAAGCCGATATCATTGCACTGATATTTCTTTCTTCACTTGATCTGTTATGGATATCGACCACAACATCAAAATTTTGACCCAGTGGGATCACCTCGATATCGACTAAATCGAAAAATACATCATCTGTTATTTCGCTGGGGATATCATAGAATTGCTGGGCCAAAGGAACTCCCCTTATAGCATTGAATACTGCCAAACGTTCTGCTTCAGAACCTTCTGGATTTTTATAAAAATTTGTTACTTCCCAGATGTCAGAATCGCCTTCTTGATCGGTTTTACCGGGACTTTTAGTTAATATCTTTCTACCAACACTAAAATATAATTTATTTTACAATCAATATAAATAATATCACTGAAATAATGTTTATGTTGGACAGACACAAAGTTCCATTAACGACAGGGTAAAAGAACAGTATAACTCATAGAAATAAGAAATTCAAACTCTATCAATTCAGAGCATCCTAATAACGAAATAAAATTTGATAATAATTTTCGAATTTGTTAATATTTTAGAAATTAATAAGTGCAATGAACAAAATACAACTTTTAAATTTAACATGTTATTATTTTCCCTTCCTTCCTTTCAAAACTATAAAACAAGTAAGCAGTCACAGGTGTTGTATTTTACCACTCGCTGGAACTCTATATAGCGAAACAACTGTGGTGTAATTAAATTTGCTTAAAACTTAACATTTTTATCCGTTTTAAAATATACATGAAAACTGAAAAATTAACCTCCTTATCAATATTAACGATACTACAAAATAAAAAAACGAAATGTGTGCTGGGACACATAATAGAAGTGGAACTTCAACGGACAAGTAAAAAATTGAATGGCAACGGACAAGTGGAAAAACGAATCGCAACACAACAATACTTCAAGTTTTACGGGCATATTATTAATGTACTTGTCCAACTTGAAAACCGGAAAAAATGTTTACTTGAAATTTTACGGGCAGGTTTTCAAATTGGACAAGTACATTAACAATCTCCCCGTAAAAAAAATTTTGTTGCGATTCGTTTTTCCACTTGTCCGTTGCCATTCGTTTTTCCAATTGTCCGTTGAAATTTCACTTCTACCATGTGTTCAAGCGCACATTTCGTTTTCACTGGTTTACTGCAAATTATGATTTGGTTTTTACACAGACAGCAAATAGAGGTAATGATGCCCAGCCACTTAGAGAGCAGAGGTAAGAAACCAACAGCTGAGCACAGCACACGCCGCCGGGACTCTAGCGGACTCCCCGCTCTCCGCGCGGCTGCGCATTATATTCAACTAATACAGCCGTTACCCTCTCTCCGCTGCCGCCAGCCTTTCTCTCCCTCCGCTACTGCCGCCTCTCACCACACAATATACCGTCTACCCTCTCCACGCTACCGTAACGCGTTTTCGTGACAGAAAAAATTGTAATATCTTCCGTCTATATAGAAGTTTCACTTCAAAAATACAATTTATTTTTATAAATGAAGAATATATAATACAATAGGACACACACTCCCCGCGAAATAAAATTTCCAAATTAACGATACATCGTATTTCAATTAATTTATCATCAAATGTATTTTTTTTTAAGGAAACGACAACTAGATAATTAGACTTCAATATCTTGTATTTTGGTTTAGAATTATGTTAGAACTGTATTTTCTATCATTAGAACGGCAAATCTTCTCCCTCCTCTAAATTTTAAAATGGTAGCTTATATAAAACTCGAGTACGAGCTATTTCTATAAATATTAAAAATACTTACTGATACTTATTAACAGATAACTTCGAAAACCCCCAGTCAGAACTTTCGTCCTCTTGGAAATGACAGATGTCGGCGTTAACCTCTGCAAAAACAAAAGGAGTATCGTAGGAGTATCCTACTTCTCCCTTTCTGACAGCTTCAACAGAAGCTGGACCACAACGAAATTTATTATCACTAATTTCTTGAGGTGTTGAATCAATTATTTGCCAGCCTCCATATCCTATTGGAAGATCTGGTCGGGCCATCCACACGTCATTCCACACGTGAAAATTCCAGCACATGTCATTACAAAGACCGTCAGGGCCATTTTCTATTCTATTTCCATAAAGGTCGAAAAATCTGTCCACAAGTATTTTAACTGCTTTAAAACTTTTTCAAATACATAAATTCATTTAATATAATACTGAAAATTTACGTAAGTAGGTGAGCCGAAAAAAGAAAAATTAGAATTAAGATGAATAAAAAATAAGAAAATGAGGTATTAAAACGAATAGAAGAAAAAAGCTCAATGGAAGACCATAGGAAAAATGAATGAAATTAAAAACATATCAACAGCAGAAACAGGAGTTAAGAGGGGTAGAATAAGTCCTATAAGTGGGATTTTCTAGCGAAGTTTGATTGAGAATACGCAAAACCACTACAGTAGGGGCACAGTAGGGGCACTACTCAATAGATTCATAAAAAAATCGCATTCGTCTAAGATGAAATTGTATGGATTATTAAGATATTTTTATGAGTTTTAATTAACATCTCCATTGTGAGAGTGAAAAATTCTGCGCTAAATCTGATGTGGACATTGAGGAATTAATATAATTCAAACTTAAAAAAAATAGGATGGCGGAAAATATTCTTCATGGCTAATCAATGTATTGTAGCAAGAACGAGTGTGTTTGTGTGCGATCGGGCACACGTGTGCGTAAACGGCTTATCGATTCGCCGACCAGCCGCGGGCTCCTTTCTTCATTGCGCCGTATTTGTAAATGTGTATGTCGTACCTGCGTTCTGGGAGAGCAGTTAAACAGTTCAAAGAAAAAATAAACTGTCCGGGCGTTTCGAGAAGGTTCCCGAAAGTAAACAAAAGAGTATTTAAGGGAATAGACGATCGCCGAAAAGGAGAAGAAATAAATTGACCGTTGCAGACGCGATTCGAGAAATAAATTGACAGTGATAGCAGTGAAATAAATAGCGCAGTGAATAGTGATATATCAACAGTAGTCTAAATAAATAGAATAATTCATCCCCTAAGTTAGTAATAATTTAATAGTGTTTTCACGTTCTTTAATAATTAGTGTAAATAAATAGTTTTTGTCGTTATCAGTCTTAGAAGGTAATTTTGTTAAACCCACAAACATTACAGTATGATGTAAATGTAATAGTAACGAGAATTACATTATAAATGTATGTTAGTTAGTTTTATATAGTGCATTATGTTTCTAAAAAATATTAAATTGTATTAAGTACCTATCAACAGTAAGTGACCTGTTGGTGTCGTGAGCTGAAACATAGTTCGTCACACATCTGCAAGGGATCCCTAACGCTCTGCATATTGTGACTGTTGCAGCTGCAAAAACCCAACATTGCCCGTAACGAACAGGACGGCCGTTATTATTAAAGAATTCTTCCATTATGGAAACGGAACCGGTCCAAGCGAATGGAGATGTACCATCCTGGTACTGTCCAGTCCAACTTCCCACAATTAAGCCATCTTCGTCATTGGCATTTATCTGTCATTTTAAAAAATATGTTTTACATTTTATGAATATTTTAATTTTATAGAAGAGTAGTACCGCTGCTGAAATTGCTCTCGTTACTAACACTGGAGAACCTCGGTCCATATGTGGTAAACCAGACTTTTCCAGAAGAAAGATTGCAGCAGGTAGAACAACTTCGTCAAATTGACCGAATACCCAAGGTTTTCCTTTTGGATTTCTATATGTACCCATCCAAATTTTACCAGTGTCATTTTTTATATACTCCTCTAGGTCACTTTCATTTTCCATGTGTACAGGATCATCCTTACACCATGGATTAAATAGAATATAAATGTTTTCTTTACACTAAAATATTAATAAATTTATAGAAATTAATATATATGATCAACCAATACTCCAATAGGATTGTTAAATTGATAATAATTTAATTGAAATGTAAAGTGGAAATATACATAAGATTTTTATATTTAGTGAGCTTTATTGTTTGTTTTCTTTTCTCAGTTTTTCGTAGAGAATTGGATCTACAGGGTCTAGATTTACAACTCTATAAGAAACTCCATGTTTAGGTTGGTTGGTAGTTAACAATTGTTTAAAATTAAGCATGATTGTTTATGGTGAATGATACAAATATAATAAATTATAAAATTATATTTGTATCATTCACCATAAATATATATATAA